ATCTGAATGTAATATGATCCGATACAACACCCCCTTACAATAACTAAAGCATCGATAATGACCATAGAGTTAAATCAACTCCTTTCTGATACAATGTGAAAAAAGCAGATCATGTAACTTGCAGAGCTGTTGTACTGGATTAAAAAGATTGTACAAAACAAACTTGTTACTCATATTGGTATATGATCAAATCAAGCTAGTTTTAAGTTAAAAAGACATTAAAAAGATTATTGTCTCATTTCATTACATTGTGCATCACAACTGGCTAAAAATTGTGACTTCATATTGTTACATTATCATTTTGTGGGTGACCCTTTTGTAATTACCAACCCCAATTTCTTCATGTTTTTTATTGCCTTATTTTGAACCGCTTCACTTTTTCCGCCTTTACCAACCGGTTAGCTTCTGCATCCAAAGATAAAGTCTGTCTAATTTGAGCAATCACCCAGTAATAAATAGCTTTGTCAGTAAATATAACACTGACTTTGCTTTGTAAGTATACTGAATGGTATCCACCTCTCCTTGTCTTCTGCTCTCTCCTGATTATTTTCTAATCAAACTGAGTGCAGGATTGGACACTGAGGAAGGAGACCTGAGTTCAGCTTAATGATCCTTAACCCAGCTGAAATGTTTGAGCTAAACACTGCATTCCTGCCACATCCAGGGGCAATGTTCTGTAACTGACCCTGCGTCTGACCTCCCTCTGGAAGCAAACAAGCAAGAGGTTGACGTCCAAGATTAGAGCTAAACAAATATCACAAGCTTTTATAAAGAGGCAAGAGCAGCCAGTCAGTGTGATCAGAGAAGAAAGAAAAAATAAACAAGCTCTAAGTCGCACTGGTTCTTATCCTTGAATCCCTTCACATCTTTCCCTCTGGCTGAAAAGGCGGTTTGAGGTCTGGCACCGGCTCTGCGTCAACATGCTGTGCCAGCTCCGGGCACTGTGAGCCAGCGGGCAGCTCAGACACCACACCCTTCTCCTCTCCCTGTGCCCCATTTTCACACTGAAGCTCTACCAGCTTCTCTGTCTGGGCCCTTCTCATGGCTCATGAATTTTATACCAGAGTGACAGACAGCACAAGACTTGGACACACGTACATATCCACATCTGGTCTCTGAGTCCTCTGAAGCTGACCTCCTCTCCGCATCACCACCAGGTTGAATGTAAACACTCTTGTCACAATATAAATTGTCTGATTTATTAACTATTGTCATAGATGCTTGCTCACTTTGTCATGCCAGGGCCATATTTAAAGATTCTTTTATTTCACAAAAAAATTGCACCTCTAGCTCAAAAAATTTTTTTGGGGTGAACCATGGATTTTTATTGTACTGATAACTTAAAATCCAGGAATACATTTTAAAATAGTTTTCTACTTTGCCCTTAAGCTTACTCCCTGCATATAGTATTTTCCATCCTGGTAGCAACTGCTCTCCAATTGACGTTTCCTCAGTGAGGCTGCAGACTCACAATGAATGGCAGTGTCTTGCCAACAGCCTCTTTTACTGTGGCATAGTTTGTAACCCAAAACTGACATATCACAGTTGTTAGTGTCATAAGTTAATTTTGTCATACTGAATAAATCAATTCATCTGAAAAAATAAATAGACTTATGAAGAACATTTACCATAATTCACACAAAATTTTGTCAGCCATAAAGTGTATGGCCTGCAAATCGACCAGGTACATAGTTCATCATCTTTTTTTTTTGGAGGCTGCAAAATATAGTATAATACATTTGAGAATTGACAGATCTAAAACCCCTGCTCTACCACAGCATACCTGAAAGCTATAATTTGCAAATAAATGTGTATAATATGTCGCTCACCTCTGTCTCTATTACTTATCAGTTGCTTGAATATCTCAGAGCAGTTTCCTCTGCGCGCTGGAGAGCTGTGTTATTCCCTTGTGAGAGGACCAGGCTGCTGCTTGCTGGCGGTGTTCCTGAGCTGTGTAACTCCTGAGCAGCCCAGAGTGCCTTATATAGAGAAGGAGACCCCTCAGGACCAGAGGAAAAAATGACTGTCTCTCCTCACTCCCCCACACTCGCCAGCCTCCTGAAGAAGGCTATATTCTTGGCAAAGAGCGCGCTGAGTGCGCACGCTAACGAGCAGCCTGATGTCAGGAAGAAAACTACAAACATTGTAAATCAGCGGGCTGTCAGACGAGTCAGCGGCAGGCAGTTAGATCGCAATCTCTGAATCACGTTGTGGTGACAGTTATTACCCAGATATGTACCTTCAAGAATAGCTACAGGCACGCGTAAAACATTACAGACTGAACAAGGGCAGCAGTGAACAGGGAGACTAAAACTAAAATCACTCAAACGAAACAAAATAAAAAAGAGACACGTTGTAACAAATGGCTTGATTAATGGTTACTAAATGATTTACTAATGCTTTATACCTTAGTCATAAACAATGTTGGGTTGCCAGGTTGTGA